GTGTGCATTGTCAGCCATCGCAGCTGTGTTGCAAAAAAAAAAAAAGAGACCATCGCCAAAAGTATAGTTGACTAACCGTCAACTAACGTTGTCGATTGTACGACTGCGTTTATAAAAAAAATTGTTGCGAAAATATATCGCACGTGAAATAGTTTAAAAAATATTACCAACAAAAATTGTAAATCTTTTCATGTGATATGAATTTGGAATTTTTCATAAAACTAACACAATTTGTAGTATTTATGTTTTCTTTAATATATTTTAACATAACTCTTTTATACATTTTAGACCATACATATTATAAAGCCATCAACAGTTTCTAAAAAATGTAAGAAACAAGTAAATAAAAATAGTGTAATATTTAAAAAATTGTATATCCTAATACCTCACGCTTGTTTTCTTTAATATCCAGTTTACAAGTATAATATGCAAAATTGACGACCAATTCTAAAATTTCAGAATCTATTTCTTTTATAAGAATCTCATTTTCGTTTAATTCTCTAAACTGTCCGCTGAACATCATATAAAATACATGACTCATAGAAGCCAATATATTTCTGTGAGCTTCTATTTTTAAGCCTACATCGGTAACTAAGGTTACATCACAAAATCATTTTCCCCTAAAAAAAATCAATCGTATTAATTGATTTATTTGCATTATTAGTTGTAAATGACTATAAGATTCATATTTAAAAAAAAACCAGTACAGTGGGGTCGGGGCATAGTGGGGAAGAAGCATGGTGGGGACGGGAAGATCACAAGTCTACAGGAATTGTTATAAATCAAAGTTTTAAAAGTCAATAAAATCACTTTCAAAAAAAACTAATTTGGTAAAGATACATACAAAAAAATTGTAAAAAATTGAACTAGAACCAATACTCGATATCTGACAATACAAGTGATGTAGGTTTTTTTGGAAACCGATATTTTGACCATAATTATCAATGGTAGGTAATATGTAATATTAGTTTTATTGGGTATCGGTTCATGATTTTTGCAAAAAAATTTGGTATTTAGTGGATCGCGATAAAATGATTATTTGTATGGATTAAAGTAAAAAGTGCATACCTACAACCCAGGACTCCGCTATATTATTTAAAATGGCTCAATAAAAATACAAACATTACTCGGTAATAAATAATACTTGTACATAACTTATCAATTAATGACTTTCTCATAGGAAGTGTTCTTGCATAATAACTTCCATAATTGTTTTGCTTATATTACATTATAGATTATAAATGTACTTTTTCTGGGTTTGTTTGTTAACTAATTGTAAAATTAGCTTATCTAAAACACATATAAGATACAAAACACAATTTATTTTCTATTAAAAAGACGAGGTAAAATAAAAAGTTTATAATCAAATACATTAAATTGCCTGATTTTAAATATCTATAACTGTACCTTAAATGATTTACGAGAAAAAAAACCATGTTTTAAATTAAAAATTATGAAATAAGCTGTTAAAATTGTTTGACATGGTCGTTTAATCGTCACAGTGGTTAATATGCTTTGCCTGAAACAAATTACATTATTTAAAAAATAAAAACCAACAAAGTTTTGAGTGGTATATTTTGTTTTTTTTAACATTTAAAACGAAATTTTAACTTACTTAAATTAGACAAATAATACAAAACTACAGGTATGACTGACGTAAGAAGCTAACACGATAAAGATTAAAGCTAGACCATTTTGCCGATTAGATTAATTTAAAGTGGCGTTGATCTCGAATCACTCGATTCAACTCCGAGTAAATAATAAGTAATAAACAAATACATATATATTATGATTCTGTTTATTCCCAAGCAGTAGGTATTCTAAGTCAATGAAAGACAGAAAACACGGTAATAATGTAAATACGTTAGAAATCAAAAACAGTAGAACCGTAAACCGCTGTCCGGGGCTGCTACTTAAAATGTATAATAAATAAATTACAGGCAAGACAAAACTCAATTGTAGCTCAAAAACGAAACACGACACAATACGTTAGGTATTTATCACAGAATTCGACCAAGTTATTATGACAAATTGTTCCTATGGCCCTGAATCTAATTGAACTAGTTACATATAATTTACAGAGTGCAAAAAGAAATCACAACTAGGTATTAACAACAACAATAGTTGTATTTAATAATAATTTTGATTTTAATGCAAATTGCACGACAACGCTAAAATGTTCTAGACAGATAACAGCCTTGTGATAGTGTGTGTGTTTGTGTGATAACGAGTGATAGCCACAGGTGGAGTTAAACTGTGGCGCCAAACTATGTGTTTGCATTTTATAATGATGAGTAAAACAATGTTGGAACTATAACTGAGTAACGTAATTACAACACACAAATAAAAGCAAGCTTTTAGTGATATTTAATTTACTTAAAGTTTAATTAACCTATAATTAGCAGGTTAAAAAATCGATAGATCAAATGTACACTGAACATATAAAAATCATGAAAGAGTATTACTGCGTATTATATGCAGTTTTATTAGGTATTACAGTAATTACTGCAAAAAAGAGAATTATTTACACACTAAAAATAAATAGTAAAACCGACTGCAAAAGTTAAAACAAAATTATACTAAACAAAATAATACACAAGTGTAAACATAGAAATTATTACACAATTTGAAATTAAATAAGTAATTTTGAAAATTACTCGATTAAATTACAAGTTATATGTAATGACATAGTTTAGCCGAGCAACGTATGGTTTAGGAATTTTTTAATTTTTAACACCCGTATAAATTATATATTTGAAAAAAAATTCAAAATTTGTTACAACAATATTTATTAACCAATATCGTTTAAAATCTAAATAGTTATTTCCCACTTCAATTAGGAGTCTATGCAACACTTCTGCATCACTTCTAATGCAATTTACATCTGTTTTTAAGTTTTGGTTATTATAGCAATGTGTTCAGCGAATCTAAGCATTTGTATAAGTTCTCATTCGACTATCTCTCCTATTTTTGGTCTATTGAGCTTTTCCTTTATTTTTTGGATTGGTTGTTTGACATCTGCATTAAACAACATTCCTAAATGTTATGCTTATAATAATATCTTAAGCCATTTAAGTTTTGCAATTAGAATTTTGCTGAATTATATTTTTTACACTTGCAATAATTGGTACATTAAGGGTACCTAAAAATGTCTGCATCAGGTCATGAATAATTTTACTATTTTATTTTTATATTCATTTAAACCCTTTTTGAAAACAATATATGGTTTTATTATTGTTATTACTATTACAAAAAAATGTATATTTAGTTTCTTACACGAAAACACAGTTTAAGTGTTATTCATTGAAATAAGAAGAAAACATTTTATTTTGATGTGATGTTTTGTAGGCTTGTTCAAACAATTACCTAACAGTCATATACCATTTGCACTAAATAAGAAATTTATACAAAACAAAAACCATGTCGTTACCATTGACCTAGATGTATTATTTTAAGTGTCTAAAATTTAAACAAAAAACATTAATAATTTCTATAACTAACGATATTCCTCCAGCCTATTTCTCAAAATGCTAATAACACCATAAATATTTATACAAAACTTGTTTTTTTACTAGATATTTATGATATACCTAATAAATAATTAAAGAATATATCTATAATATTTTTTTTTATTCTATCCAGAACGATTTTTTCTCAACGTGTGTAGAACTCTTCAACTAGAGACCCAAATTTAGGTTTCCAATTGAAGTGTTGTATGTAAAAACAGAATTATTTATTTTTTTGTTTTTGGCGTTTTATTTTTCTCAGGTTCGTATCGAAGTGAATAACATATGAGTAATAGCCCACCCAAAAACACTTTTCTAAATCAATACACAACCACAAAAACAATTTAACAAACTTGGAATTTAGCACACGATAACGTGTTGAAAAGTAATATGAAATCTATGTACTTTTCAAATTAAAATATGTAGGATTAGTTTTCGTACTCTGAATTGTTCTTACATAAATCTTATTTAAGCCAACCCAATTACTCAACTATCGACTAGATATGCTTCGACCTCTTCTCAATAAAAAACAATCTCCTTCTTTACACTACCTTTTTGAACTCTATATGAACTTATGGTATTATTATTTGGTGATAAGCAAAACCTTCAAACATCAAAACAATTCGGGCCTTTCAATCCATATGCCTCTGAATAATCACAAAGGGCCTTTTGGTATGTTCAAAATGATTCACTCCATTCCGGCCTCTAAGATGACTTGAAAGAAACTGGCCCAGAACTGGCTCAAGAACTACTAAAATTAATGTTTTATTTTAATCATATTTGGTGTCTCAACTTTGAGATTCCTTATTCATGTTAATCACTGACAGTTTTGCATTCTTTAATACCATTCGTCACACCCTTGGACATGTGATACATATTACATGATACACTTTTTATTTAATTATATTCTGATTTTTCAGTATAATGTAATAGTATTTTTATTAGCGCGCATTTACCAAAAAGTTTTAAAAATCGATAAAAAAACAATAAGTTTGGAAGGGTATTAAAAACAAATAAAACGTGGGGTATTGAAATCATATTGTTTAAAAACACTTTACAAAAGAAAAATGAATCTAGTAATTCAACATTATAAGATATTGTTTGACTTACGATAAAAAATGTATCTTGCATAACAATATTGTTAATTTAATCGATTCAATTTGGGTCATTACTATGATTTATATAATATGTATTTTGAATAATGTTGCTTACAAATAATATACCGAGATCAAAGATATCGGGTTTGTTTTACACCTTTATATTTAAAATGTTCACAGTGCTGAGAAAATGTAGTGTAATAATATATAATGGGATTTTAATTAATTAAAAACAATAACTTTAGGTACTGATTTTTTTTGTAATTATTTATTAATAGAAATCTAATTATTTAAGTAATTATTTTTTTTCTGACAATGAAGAGCGAGATATTTAAATTGAAAACACACAAAAATATTAAAAATACTATTATTATTATATATATATATGTATGTATGGTTATTGAATATGTCCAATTAATATTGTTAAAGCTTGTACTTAATCACCAGCGGTATTAAGCTTTTAATTCATTGGTATGATTTTGAATGAAAAATACCGCTTTAATGTAATCCAAAGCATTTATTGTTTGAATGTCTAAAAAAGAAAAATTAATTTTTTTTATTAGGCAATGACCACTAATCGACGTTAATTAAAATATTTTAACATTGTTTAAATTAACTTCACCATCGAATTTGCTTAAACAATGTTTCGCTTTTTCGACAGTTTCTTCCGACCCTTTAAACACAGTACGCGACGTATCCACGTAGTTTTCATACTCTTTAGGGGAAAGTAAACAGTCATTGTTATTGTCCATCTTAATGAATTCGTTTATGGCAGTTACGACATCGTTTAGACTTAATACACTCAATTCCTAAACAATTTTTTCAGTTACAATGTGAAATAGTTATTAATCAGTAGGCATGATAGTTTAACAAACATTTTAGCAAAGAACTTTTAAATTTAAAAAAGAAATAATTATGAACAATATTACATTTTCCTCAACCGCCGTATTGCGTTCTGCCGCAAGGATGATTAAATCCATCAACAATCTTCCAGCCGGTCCTGTACGAATTTTAATAATTAGCAGTTCTCCATTTACTTATCATACGTATTATAATACAAACATAATTCTTACGCTGGGAGTTAAATAGCAGTTCCAATTCGTCATTTACGGTCATACCAAGCTCTTTGAACACTTTTTCACATGCTACACGATCAACGCTACCGGATGTCTTATGTGCTTCGTACAAACCATCAAACATTTCTATTTGTGCTATAGTTAGACCATTGCCCTACAATGTATGAAAAAAAATATTAATTCAAGCTTGCCCCTAAGATCGATAATAGTCTATTCAAACAGTAATTCCCTAAAATTCCACATCTCTAGACTCAACATTTCTACATTTTGAAAAAAAAAAATATCTTTAAAAATAAATTGCTGGCAATTTTTGTGAAGATTTTTCACTATATTATGTGTAGTGCTCAGGTGCACAACTAGACATTCGTATAATTTGTGTTTCATAGGAAACGTCATAAATCACACACACATATATATATATATATATATATATATGTAATTGTGTTCTATTTTCTTACAAATTGGCGATGAAGAAAATAATTATCTAAAGTAAAAATTTCTAAGCAAACTCTATTGAAAATAATGTTCAAAAGAGAGCAGTATTGCTTTTGTAGCTAAGAAATACATACTATATTCTTGTATCTTAAAATTGACGAGCAAGTTTCACACACATTGTCAAAATACACTGACGCTATTTCTTCAGCTCAGGTTCCAGAAAATCAAACAATGTCAAAATCGTTTTTAGGTTAATTAACTTATTACATCAAATTTACACCAAATGCAGCAGATATTTTAAAACTACATTATTTGCTTCAACGTAAAGTTATTAAATAGCATTGGCCATTAAATTTTGACAAATCGTACAAAAAAATACATAATAAAACAATTTTTTAAAAAATGTTCTATTTTATTAAGTTATTGAAATACATTTTTGCTAATGTATAGGAATGCACCCCATCACCAACACATGAATCTCCCGCTCAACTTATATTAGGTCATTCGATACGAACAATATATGATTTTTTAAAACATTAACGAAGTAGTTATTAATAATCAAGTAATCCAAATAAAAAAAGTGGGTAAAAGAGACTTAAATTTAGACAAGGGGATGGTGTGATATGTATAGATTACAGAAAAACAGGTGAGAATTGGTAAAAAGGTATAATTATTCATAATATTAGACACAACACTCATTATGAAGGTATAAACCATGGTTCTGAATAGATAAGACACAATGATCAGTTACGGCCACACAATCGAAATGAAAATTTGTTGAAAGAATTTTGACTTTTTGACCAATTAAAACTTCACATTATTTCAACTAATATAAAAATAAGTAAAAATAATAGGATCTGCTGTTTATTTATTTTTAGAAATCCTTATTTTAAGCCGGTTCTTATAAAAGTTTTCTTTTAAATGTTTCTAGAGATTACATTTTCTCCCTTTTTTATTAATTTTGCACTTACTGTTGGATTGATTTCCATCATAATCAACAAGAACTCCGTAGCCATTATTTCATGGTCGTCTAAAACAAAAAATTAAAATAATTGTCTACATCAAATGAACCGCCTCCTTGGTATATGTGCATTACCGCCTTTTTCTTTTTTAAGTTCTACTGATTTTGCGTTCAATGCATTATTTACACTCTTCCAATTATTGAATTTTTTTGATAGCTGTTGAATATTAAGGTAACCCAATTCGTTGTCATCCTCGAACTCTTCTAGATAAAAGCTTACATCCGAAAACGTGAGTTTTTTAACCTGAAAACAATTTATTATTACAGAATGGTTTGTTATGTGTAAGTCATATGAACTTAAGCTTTTCCTAAGTAAAGTATATATGTCAATTTTTTTTGCAAATTTCGATGGGTCAAAAGCCGTTTCTGAGGAATTAATTTTAAAGATACTCGCGCTGTGAACGTTGTCCGCATAACACGTGCTAACTTAACTCCGCGTTAATAAAATTATCTCAGGTTTATTCTCAATTTTTTGTGCTCTTATGTGTTATTAAAAAAAATCATCAGAAAAAGCTCTTTGAGATACGCTAATCAAAACTTTGGTTGAACCATCTTCGATCACATTATAACAAATAAACTGGTAATTATAATTACAAATATCAAATACTGCAGCGCACTGCTCATCACTAACGACTCCCCGGCTATCGGTCGGCGGCATTCATCTGTTTATCAAAATCAAAAGTTTATCGGTAACGACGTACAATTTCACATGCTCCTAAATCGTCAAAAGACCGCACCGCTAATACAAATCATTTT